CCCACATTTCTTCCTGTTTTACATAAAATAAATAAAGAAAAATAATAAAACAACAAAAAATAGATGCACAAAAATGCAACAATTAACCTATAAATTAAGTCTGTAAATAATACAAAAAATATATAAGTTTAGGAATTAACACAATTCAAATGGATAAAGAAATAAAGAATAAATAGCTCCAACAGATGGTACAGAATGACAGAGCCAAGATTCTGAGGGACTTCCTGATACAGGCGGACCGAATTGTAATGGCAAACCAAGCAGACATTGTGGTGGGAGACAAAAAGCAGAGGAAAGCCATTTTGGTGTAGCAATACCAAGAGACTGCAACATCAGGAAAAAGGAACATGAGAAACTAGAGAGATACCAGGGGCTCAGAGAAGAGCTGGAAGGTCAAGGCATCAGTGGTACCCATGGTCATTAGGGCCCTCATGGCAGTGACCCCCAAACTGGAGGAGTGGTTACAGCAGATCCATGGATATAGATCAGGCATCTCAGTCCAGAAGAGTGCAGTTCTAGGAACAGCAAAGATACTGCGCAGAACCCTCAAGCTCCCAGGCCTCTGGTAGAGGACCCCAGCTTGGAGGAAAAAAAAGCAGACCACCGCAGAGGGTGAGGATATATACATATATATATATATATATATATATATATATATATATATATATATATATATATATATATATATATATGAATATGAACAATTATTCTGAAGAGAAATCCATTTCCTCTTCATTTAAGCAGGTAGATGAGTTTATCTGCTCAGATCAAGGGAAAATACACATATTTTAGGGGACATTGACTTACTCTTATTTCAGTTCAGTGATGTACTTGAGAGTTGGCAAGGCCTTAGAGCTTGTTAATTAATAGTTGAAACATAATTCAGGGCTAATGAAAAGGCTTATAGGAACTAACAGGAAGTGCACACTTGTTTGCATTATGAGTTTTGTATAGAATCATTCAGAGGATGTGAGCATGTGATGATCTGCTTCTATTATATGGGATGGAAACCCAACAGGTAACTTTAAGGTGCCTCAAAGACAATTATTAATGATGCATAAACTGTTACTTGATGTGTCTTTATATCCAGATCTTCTCTGTGCTGAAATGGCATCAAATCTCCCTTAAATGCCAAAATAAAAAGTTTCCCCCTCCTTTTTTGATGCATTTCACACATGGCATCCACTGAAACAGTAAATTGATTCTGTTTTGCACAGATCACTAATTTCTCTGTGTTTACTGTTGTGCTGTATGTGACAATGCTTTGTTTTTATGCACATGGGGGTCAGTTTGGAGTCAAACAGTTCACACTAAAGTCAGGTACAGGCCCAATTTTAAAATTAATTTGGATGCCCAAAATTTAAAAAAATCTGAATCCTGAAAAAATAGACATGTATTTGAGCATAAGACCTGCATTGTAAATGTAGGCCTTGAGGTACTAGAATAGTAAACTGATCTAATCTCTATCATACTTCAAAATTCCAGTATCATCTAAAAAATGTTTTTCTTTTACAACAATAAGCTACATGTTTTCCAGAATAACATCTTTTTACATCAATTCTATTTTTTTTTTTATGAAGACATGAAAGAAAAATACATTTGAAATAGAATTGAAAGCAGCAAGTATTAAAGGTAATAACAGTATCGTCTTTTTACCTCGCAGCAGTATTGGACCTCAGTTCAAGTTATGCTAAAATGAAAATATAAGTAAAGAAAATATATGTATAGGTAAAAAGAAAAGAAACAGTTTATTAAAATGATCACAGATTAATAAAATAATTCAAGGACATTTTGCAGTTAAAACCAAGTCATTTTAATGTTTTCCAAACAAACTTGATCAAATAATATGAAATGTTTTCCAAGGGTGTTTTAATTTACAATTCTGATTATGTTCATCATTGCTCAGTTTCAAATTTTGCAGCAAGTTCAAAGACAGGTTAGTTACATAAATATATAACAGGTTTAAAAAGTGAAGAAAAAAAAATTGTTTAACATTTGCAGCTCTATGTAAGAAAACTAGCCTGCAGATATTGTATCTAACTAACTATGCTGGCTGGCAGAAATAGATAAAAAATGGTCAATTTTCACTCTTTAATTCTTGGAACTTTAATAAAAAAATATGTATAAAAAGAAGAGGGGAAAAAAACACCCTGTCAACAGGTATTTTATACTGGGCAATTAGCCAAATAAATTAATGAATAAATAAATAAAAGTATTCCTTATTTTCAAGTATTTACACAGACTGAATTAAAATATACAACACAATCGTGCAGAGCTCCTCTCTAACAGACAACTTAAGTAAAACCTGGGTTCCATTAAGGACATGTTGATCTAGTACAGTTTTACATGTGTACATTTATTTTTTTCTTATTAGAATAGGAAATAAATATTAAATTATGTCTAGAATTCATATACATATACACATATAAATACATACATATATACACACATGCATACCTATACATACACACACACACCTAAACACACATACATAAATTAACCTTGCCCTAAAATGATTGATGATTGCATAAGCTTTCAAAATTTTACAATTTAGCAAATTAGGTATAGGTCCTGCTGGAGCTTTGCAAATGCATCGTTGCCACCTTGTGGTAACATTCATGCACAACAGTCAGATAAGACAAAACCCATTGCTAAGATTAACAGTTTGATTTCTAAGTTTCTATAACAATCAGTGCTCAAACCAAGTTTTAATTATTCCTTATTTTAACCTAGAGCTCCAAAAAGTAGCAAATCATATTTTTAAATGAATGGTTCACAAAATATTGTGTAGTGATTTGAAATATGATGCTCCCCCTGAGGGCAGGATGAATTAAGAGTGCCTGAAAATCACTTTTGAAATAGGGGGGGTGGTTGTTTCAGCTGCTCTCTCTTGCCCTTTCCCTTGCATGGTCTCTTTTTCTCTCTTAACTGTGGTGTTAAAGGAAGAATATTTTTTTTAGGATGGAAAACCTTGCAAGGTTACCTACACAGATTAATATAATCTAAAATCAGATCCATGCCTATATATATTCAACGTTTGCTTTGGCCATTTCATTTTCTGCAACACAGTCAGCAGTTTTAAGAAGCCCATTTCTTTCATCTTCATGCTGCACTTGTGCATCATGGAGCATTACATTTTTAGCTGAATCTGCCTCACGTTTTGTTTTTTCACTGCTGCAGTGTGAGAGAAACATTGTCAGAGTGGCGGCACAAAGTAGA